TATATATATATATATATATATATATATATATATATTATATATTGTATTATATTTTTAAAAAAACTAAAAAATATTATTAGACTATTATAAATATTATAAATAATTTAAAATTTATATTAAATATTTCATAAATAAAATAATTATGTTATGATTGTGTGTGTGTTTTTTTTTTTATTTACGGGTAATAACTAATATTATTATTATTATAATATTTATTATTTTTTACAAATTTAATTATGTATATTTTGAAAAATTAGTAAAGTCATATTAATAATAATAATAATATATTTACATAAATAAAATAGAAAATTTATTAAAAAAAAAAAAAAGAATATTGGTAAATAAATAAATTTATTTAATATTATTATGACTAAAAATAAATATATAAAAATTATTTGAAATAAATACAAATTTATAATAATAATCATATAAATATAAAAATATTATTTTATTTTAATATATTAAAAAGTATATAATATAAAAAAAAATTATAATAATTTATAAAAAATAAAATTTTATATAATATTTTTTTAAAAGATATTTTTTTATATTAGATTTTATAGAAATTTGTATAATATTTATAATATTTTTCTATATATTAGATATAATTTTTATAAATTAAACATTTTATAATAATTTTTTTTATTTATCTTTTTTAAAATCATGAAATTATAAATTAAAATAAAATATATTAATTAATTTATAGAAAATTTTTAATTTATTTTATTAATAAATATAAATATAAATTTATATTTTATATTTAATTTATATTAATAAAATTAGTTAATTTAAATTATCTTTATAAAAAGGGAATAAAAATATAAATATTAATATATTTAAACTAAAATATTTTTTTACTTTTTCCATAATTATTAATTTATGAAACAAAGAGTCAAAAATAAATAAATAAATAAATACAAAAAATAAAATTATTTATTTCATTAAGAAAATAATGTATCTATTTTAAATAATTATATTATAGAATAAAAGATTAAAATTAAATATTACATATAAATAAATTTATAAATATATATATACATATATAATTTATTAATTAAAAAATATTTAAATTATTAATAAAAATATATATTAAATAATATAATGTTTTTAAAACTATTTCTTATAAATATCTTAATCTTTGGTGCTTTGACCAATTTTTTAAAAACTTAAAATGAGTGCAGTAATTAATGTATATAATGTGATTAATCTGGGTAATGCTTATAATGTTAAGATAGATATTAAATAGATTAAGAAAGTAAATAATGCGTAGAAATCGCTAGTAGAGTTTTAAATACTGAAAATAGCTGTCCTGAAGGATGTACTAAATGTTCTAATGATGGAAGATGTTAAGAATGTGAAGAAGATTTTTATGATACTCAAATATATGAATATGGTGCTAATCCAAGGAAGGATTGTAAAAGTTGTTCAAGTTTATTCGAAAAATGTTCTAGATGTAATAAAAATAAATGCATTCTATGTAATTCTGGCTATTAATTTTGTGGTTATAAAAAATAATGTATGGAATTAAATATAGATATTGCAAAAGTACAATGCGATGAAGGATGTGTCGGTTGTATTCATACAGGAATGTGTACTTAATGTAAAGATGATTATCATTAAATAACTATAATAAATAATGAATAAGATTATATATATACAATATGTCGAAAAACCTGCACTACTATTAAATATTGTCTAGAATGTACAGATAATAATATATGTACAAAATGTGATAGTAAGCATTATTATTATGAAGAATAAAATTAATGCTTATGATAATCTAATTTTAATAGATTTTATTTAAAGCTTAAGGCGATTATTAATAATAAAATAGTTATTAAGGTATTTTTTTATTATTTGTTATATTTTTTTTGAATATTATATTAATTATTTTTAATTATATTTACATATAAGTATTATTAAATTTTTAATAAATTAATAAATAATTTAAATTTACTAATTTATATTAATTTCTTTTTACATAAAAATAAATATTTTATTATTTTTTATATTATAAATTAAAATATTTTTAAAAATTGAAATAAATAATATTTTTAGATAAATTAATATTTTTTTTATGAATTTTTTGTAAAATTTTAAATTTATTTATATTAATTAAAATATTAATTATAATGTTAATTTTTAATTAGTATATATAAATTTCTATAAAAATTAATAATTATTTAAAATAAAAATTAATATTATAAATAAAAGTTATAATATGTTTTGATATATTTAATAGAATATTTTGAATTTATTTCAAACGAATCGAATTTAAAAAATATTTATCATTAAAAATTATAAAAATTATTATATTAAATACAATTAATATAATTATAATAATTTAAATTATTATTATTATTATTATTATTATTATTTATTATTATTATTATTATAATTATTATTTTGAAATTATTTTCTTGTAATATTTATTAAAGAAAACAAATATTTGTAAAAACAGTTTTTGTTCATTATCTAATAAATAATTAAAATATTATATATTATTATAATTTGAATTAAAAATTAAAGCTTATTATAATTAATTATTTACATAATTTATAATTTTTAAAATATTCTTATAAAACTTTAAATATTTACATTAATAGAATAACAATTGTAGTTTTTTTTTTTTTTTTAAAAAAAATATGAATTTATTAAATGTTAAAATTATAAAAGAATTTATAGAAATTTTTTATTTTTAGATTTTGATAGTACATTTTTTATTTATTTAAGTCTATTTTTTTTTTAAACTATTTTATTAATTTACTAATTTAATATGATATATTACTTTTTTAATATATTTTAAGAATAATATACAAAAACTTATTTTTTAAATTACTTAGTTTTAATTGATTCATTAATTATATTTTCGAAATTTTATTATAATACAAATTTTTAATTCTTCAAATAATAATAAAATGCATAGATATTTATATATTTTTTTACATATATATGAATTTAATATAAATATTTACAGTATTTAAAAAAAAATATTATAAAAATTAGCTTAATAATTAAAAAAAATATTTTTTGTATTAAAGCTTTTTTAATTATCTAATTTTTGATAAATTAGAATATATATTCTAACAACTATCTACTCATTATATAATTTCCTTTGCTATATATATATATATTTTTAAATAATAATACATTCTCATTAATTAATTTACAGTTTTTTCTTTGTTTCCTAATATAATTTAGTATGAAATTATACAATTTAAAATAAAATATCTTAAAAAGATGGACAACTAAACATTTTAAAAAATTCTAAAATAAAAATATTAAATAAATAAATAAAATAAAATGAATACACAGCTTTAATTACATTATAATAGTAATTAATCAAATTCAAAATAATATATACAATTATAAAAAATTTAATGAGTAATAGAGAAATTTAATATAAGAAAGAGCTTAAATGAAGTAATATTAATTTTATTAAAAAATAAATAAATATATATTTTTAGAAAAAAAAGAAATAAATATTTTTTGATGTGAGATTTTTTATATTATATTTAATTCTTTATTTAAAAATCAACTTAAAAAAATGAATAATGGCTTTTTTTCTTTCTTTCTAACCCTATATAAATATAATTTTTGATTATTTCTAATTTATAAAAATTGAATATTATGAAATATATTAAAAATTATGTGTATGAATAAAATACGAATTTTATTGTAAAATAGTTATAAAATCCAAATGCTATCCTGTTCTTTTTCATGAGTTTTATAACGACTAATTAATATAATATGAGAAAAGCATACTTACCAAGATAATTAATATATCATAACTAAGATTTTTATATTTTTTTAAAAATGATATAAAAAAAAAGGAAAACTATATCAATCTACGAAAAAAAAATATTTTTATTTAAATCTGAAAAAAAATTATTAGTTTTTTATATAAAAAAAAAATTTTAAAATTAAATAATCTTTTATATATTTTCCTAAATAAAAATAATTAATAAATATAAAAATATATATATATTTTTTATAATTGAATAAAATATTAATTATTTTATTATTTTATATAACTTAATTATATTAAGTATTTATTATTTTTATTTTTTTTAATATCTATTTTATTTTTAATAAAAATTTATGATTATGTATTTTTTTTTTTAATAAATTATAATTTTTTTTTAAAAAAAATATATAGTATATTAAAAAATTTTCAATATATTTTTAATTTTTTATAATTTTTTTTTTTAATTTATAATTATATTTAATATTGCTGATTTTTTTATTATTAAAAGTTTTTTTTTATAAATTATTATTTTATTTATTAAATTCTATTATTAAATAAAATAATTTTTTGTTTTAAGAATATTATATGAAAAAAGTATAAAAGAAATATGAAAAAAAATTATTTTTAAAAATTTAACGAATTAATTTATTATTATTATTATTATTATTATTATATATTATTAATATTTTTAATTTATTGAGTATTAATTTTTTTGTAATTTATATTTAAGGAAAAAAAAAAATTTTTAAATAATTTTTCTAAATATCCTCTTAAATAATCTTTT